CCCACACACATACACCACGCTTATTGGTCCTTGACGTACTATACTCCCCCTCCCCAATCCCTTTTCTCTCCACGTCTGTCGTTTATTGACCTTCCCAGCCAGACGAGGTTGCTCCCTCAGGTCAGTACATGTCATGTATCATACTGGACTACGGTGCAGATGGCCCTGGTTCCAAACCTAGACAGACAGGACGTTTGTGAATTCGGGTCGTTTTGTGGAGTTTTCAAGGCTCTCAATCCATCTGGCTGGGTCAGTCCTATCGGAGGCGGACGTTCCATTCGGTTGACAGAGACGTCAAAGTCAAACCTATATACTTACTTTAAGACCAGACAGGTATATTAAGAAATTTGTCCAACTTCTTCCCCATACTCCACCAAAAAAAAAACCCAGAAAAAAACAACCAGCCTCCCAAGGGCCGTTCTTTGTCTCCTCAGTAACCCTTTCACTATAGTTTATAATTTATATTCTGTACTACATGTATTATTACTACACAAAAGACGGATTGAGAGAGTCGAGGGAATCTTTGAGAAACTACACATCTCAACATTGAAAGAGCTGCAGAGTTGGCCTACCACCATAGACAAGTGCCCCCCCCCCCTCGACGCTCAATGAGTGTGTGGTAGGAGGGCGCCACTGGTAGGTCCTACATCTCTACTTTCCCCTCTATTGTTTCTGTCTGTCTGCCTTGCTTTTTTCCCAGCTCAAAATGACCATTATCGTGTCGACGTGCTACTCTTTACTTACACAGAGACGTTCAATGACGACAGAGGAGGAAAAAGTAGGGTAAAAGTATATCACTCCCACCCCCCACCCCAATAAAAATCGTTCGCCCACTACATTCTATTAAACATAATTATGTTTGTCTTGGTTTAACCCACTCCCACTGTTGGGATTTTTTTTCCCTTCCAAGTTGCACGGTGGGTGGTTGGAGGGTGCTCCTTCTTTCCTATCGTCCGTATCTCTCCTCCTTTTTTGTGTTTGTTACATGTACTCCCTTGTAACAGCTGTAATCTTCGGCACTTATATGACCATATTGTGTTGCAAGTGCCGTAAAACTCTTACGAAAAAAAAACAAGGTGCACGGAAAGAACAAGTGCCTGTGGAGTATGCTTCGACGTCGCACACAGGGGACCCGGATTCGAATCCTGAGTTGGGAGAATTTTCATTGGGTATCTCAGTCTTTCTGCTGGGATGTTGTATCCCTCTTTGTAGGTGGCTGGCGGGTGTTCTGGTGTGGTTTGTTCCTTCTTTCCCATCAAACATCAATGTCTTTATCTCTCTTCCTTCTTTTTTTTTTTTACGTGTGTTACTCTCTTGTAACACCTCTAATCTTCGGCGACCTAAATGTGTTGTAAGTGCCGTAAAACTCTTACTAAAACTAAAATTGTCCCTCTTAGCCCGGGTTGGGCCTGACAAGCGTAGTCGCAGCCAGCCTCTTACATGACCTAAGTAGCGTCGATAAGGGCGTAAAAATATATGCATTAAAATTTTAAAAAACAAAAACATACACTGAGAGATGTCTCATTTCCGTGGAGCACTTGTGGCACCGATCACGAACATTATAAGTATACCGACATAATAAGCTTCCCCAATACCCCTACACGTTTCATGCGTACGCCCCCCCCCCCCCCCCACCCACACATCAAACACACACACACACACACACACACACACACACACACACACACACACACATATCATGTTCTCCCAAGCTAGAGGTACCGTGTTCGCCTATCAGTCAAAAGGTCCCGGGATCGAAACTAACTGACAGCAACTAACTTAAAAAGTTAACTTCTCTAGAAACTGTCTCCTTGTCCTCCCTTCCTGTTCTCTTGTCCTGCTAGCAGTCTGCTTTCATCTCCACTTTCTCCCTAGCCCCCCCCCCCCCAAAAAAAAAACACAACAGAACAACCGCCGGCTTCCTTTCTGCCAATCTCTATTCCTAGCCCGTACTCCATTGTGCTAATCATAGCTGTCTTTCTGCCACACCCACTTAGCTTTCAAGGATAAGAGATAAAAATCTAGGAGGTACTATGTACAAGTTGCGCACGTTAAAGATCCCTTGATTTTCCTTAAATCGACAAGAGTAGTCTTCCGCCGTCCACTTGGGCAAAATTCAAAATCAATTCCTACCAAAACTATAAGTACTCAGGCCAGTATTTTTGGAAAATGCATAGAGTACCTTCAAGATAGGAATGTGACTTTCTAAAGGAAGTTGGACCTATGAAGTAGGAAAAATGACCACATACGGGAAGGTGAGTGGCACTACAGGTTGAAGAACCATCTGTTTACTTTACTGCCCCTGAGTTCTAGCTAGGGAACGCTGAGGTAAAATAGAGTACATTTATGTAGGCTACCTTTTTGTTTAAACTGGCTCATTGACACAAGAATAAAGTAAATGAAATATTCCGGTCACATAAAGAGACGCACCCATTGGCTGGAATTATAAAATTATGATATCCCAGACTGGACACTGTCATGGCCGCCACTCTTTGCTTTCTTTAAGAAAAAAAAAGAAACTTGGCAGTGCTGGTGTGCAACATGGACGCACTAATGAAAGACAAATCACCAGTCTCTGCGCGTACAGACGTAAGCAACTTTTTCACAACTTGCCCTTCATCCAGTTCCAAATAGAGTCAAATGGTGTATTCCATAGTGAACCAGAATTACATCAGGAGTGCCCAGTCTTGCGTAGTATAGTACAACTCTATGGCTCTATGGACACAACAGTCTAGAAAGAATTTTGGAATAAAACTTTGTTTTAGCTTTAATTAGAGTTTTACACACGTGCAACACAAATACTTCATGATAGTTCATGCCGAAGATTAGAGGTGTTACAAGAGAGTAACAAACACAAAAGAGAAGGAGGGGAGATAAGGACGATGGGTGTTTGACAGGAAAAGAGGAGCTAACCACACCAGATCGTCCCGGAAGACGTGACCGATGACTTACAAAACGAACAGAGGTAGTCGCGACGTCTCTTTTTTTCTTTCTTTCTTTTTTTTTAAGTGCTTGCAACTGCATTAAGTCATATGACCGCGCGGGACGCATTAAACATTTTCAGTTGGTAGGAAATTTTGAATCGGGTCCTGGTGGCGGCCGAAGCCTACTCTTATCGACTTTTGGACGACCAATGGATCTTTAGCGTGCGCAACTTGCAAACGCGACCTCCTAGATTTTTCGCCCTTGTCCGAGAAGGTAAGGTGTAGCTGAAAGACAGCAGTAAGATGGAGGCAGGGAGTAGCACAGTAGAAAGGTTGCAGAAAGAGTCAGGAGCACAAAGGAGAGGGCAAAGAAGGTGAGGGGGTAGGGACAGAAAGTGAAGGCGAAAGCAGACGAATGTTTTCCCAGCACTAAATGATCATTATTATTCATATTGTGTCGATGTGCTTCTCTTTACTCAAACGAACAAACAAAAACAAAAGGAAGTGACGTTCCTCGCTGAAGCAAATTTTGTGATGAACCCGGGCATGGCCACTCCAGAATCGAGCTTCGAACCATCTACCGTTCTCATCTACGAGCGTGCCGCAATGTCTGTGTCTTTGAGGTTTTGCTTGATTTGAAATATGTTCGGATGAACCCCCCCCCCCCCGCCCCCCGGTGGGGCTACTGACTGAGGTGTCTTTAGGCCATTCCCAAAGGGGGGGGGGGGGGGGACTCTAACATCTCGAGTTCTTATGCACTGTAGAATTGTAATTGTAAAAGGGCTGATTCATCAATGTTATGTTCATAACTGTGCCTGAACTGCAACAGGGAACTGCTGCTTTCTTTTTCTTTCCTAATCCTTACTACTATCGTCATTTTTCCTCTCCTTCTTTTGTATGTTTGTCACACTCTTTTGACCCGGTTTTACCTACAGTATTTGTACTTTTTCTTACTTTTTATACAACCTTAATTAGAATTGAATTTCGATAAAATAATACTCTTGAGCACATGCAACCTAAATCACAGATTTAAAGTACCCGCAGAAAAATAAAAAAACGTTTAAAAATGTTGGGTTTACTACATCGGAACAGCTGAGGAGAATGTAAGTTCTTTTTCATTTTCTTCCAGAATTACTGTTGTTGGGTTTTTGTTTGTTTTTTGTTGTTGTTTTTTAATTTATGGGTTGTTTTTTTAGGGGGGAGGGGGTATGAGTTTCTTGTTTGTTTGGGGGGGGGGGGGTTGTAGATATTACGTTTCCTTATCATAGTACATCTGTCACCAACTGTGATTGCGGTTGTGAGTAACATATTATCAGACAAAAGAATGTTTGTTCTGATATAAGGGATATATGGTTGGAATACAAGATGGTCGCTCTAAGAATAACTGATATTTTTTTTATTAGTTTGTTGCAAAGAGGTTAAAAATGATACTGCTTATACCGGTAACTTTTCTGAGGTTGCTGTTGGGAGGGCACCTAGTTCATTGTTGGTGAGGTGCCAGCTGTTGCTGATGACAAGACGCCTGTTGTAATTAAGGGGGGGGGGGTACAATTTATTGAAGTCTATCTCGCTTATTAGTGCTTCAAATATTACCAAACTGCACACATAACAAGCATAGTAAGGTGTCTTAAAACCCGCCATCAAATTTGAGAAAAAGTTTCGTTTCCATGGATAAGGCGGTCATATTGAATTTTGTTGGCATGTCTTGCGTAATGAATACCGCACTTATTTTTCATGGAAATAGATTGGGTTTTTTTTTTTTTTTTTTTTTTTTTTTTTGCACGCATGTTGTCAAACATTGGATCTACAAATTTGTCTATTTAATTAAATTTTTTTTACGAGTTAGAAGATTTTTAATGAATTTTTGCATGAGGTAGTAAGTCTAGATCTAGTCAAGTTTTCAAAACATCAGTGAAAATCCACACTGCAGACACCACAAACAAAAATCTATTCTATATATCAAAAATTCAACCAAGAAAATTTTAGTATTACATCTTCTCTTCATTCTGTGAAAAGTTCATGAAGATTGGAAGAAAAATGATGGAGTTATTCAAAGAAAGTATGTAGAAAAGCCGCGTTTTGAGAAAACGAGTGATAAAGAAAAATAAAAGATTGACTTTATGAGGAAATGGTGGTGATAAACATGCCCGGTAAAGGAAAAATTAGGCTTTGTGGGGTTCTTATGCGATGAAATAGTAAGAGAGGCTGAAGATGCTAAAAATGCAGGAACTCAAAACCCTTCCTTTTTTTAGCTGAATCAGGACTTTCGGGGTGTACCTCCCCCCCCCCCCCCTTAATGTTGACTAAGCAAAGTGGTCAGAAAGGGTGTGTACAGGCGTCTGTGGTTGTGGTGTAGCGGTTAGGCGCTTCGCTGTCACACAAAGGTATTCCGAGTTCGATTCCCGAGTGGGGATAATATTTCATAGAGTGTCTGGGTCTTTCTGCTGGGATGTTACATTCCTCTCAGCCCGGGTTGGCCCTGAAAGGAAAGGTCTGAAGCTCGACGTTTAAACTATCGAATAATCTAATAAATTGTGACGATTTGGGGGGGGGGGGTCGTGAAATAACCTACATTTGAAAGAAGTAGTGGGGGGAAAAAGACGGAGGGGGAATCATATTATAGGAAGGAGCGGGAATTCCTCACACAGGGTAATTCCACACCCCCACTTACTTACAACCCTTAGAACCAATAGAAATCTGTTAGACAGTCAGCTTTAATCACTTGCTTCTGTCTGCCATGTTTTCTTTTTCAATTCAGCTTTAATTTCTTGTATGTCTGTCTTTTTATTTTCATTTTGGCCTGTGTGCTCATGTGGGTTGTGTAATTGCCCCACAATATTAAATTTTAAATTAAGTTGAAAAATAGAAGTATGGGGATGGTGATATCGTAGAATTCATATTGTGTTCTGTTTCCTAACTTATCAGGCACAAAGTAAAACTGTTGTGGAGAATGTGCCCTCTTTCTACATAAAGTAGCTTCTGTAACACTTGTCTCACAATCCAACTGAAAAGTATGATTTGGAATTCCCCCATTTTACTATACTTGAGACAAGTTTTGAACGAACACCAGTTCTATAGAAAAATCGTGATTGAATCCATGACATGAGCCATCCTGCCTTCAGAACTTCAAACTCCATTCAGATGTCTTACCAGAGATTAGATGGATATAGAAGAAGAGGCAGGTCCAGGAAAAGACGGATGGAGGGGGTCAAAGAAACATTAGTTTTAATTAACGTAAGAGCTTTACGGCACTTGCAACGCAAAAAGGCCATATAAGTGCCAAAGATCGCAGGTTTTACAAGAGAGTAACACACACACAAAAAAGAAGGCGAGGAGATACGAACGATATGTTTGATAAGAAAGATTAAGGAGCAAACTACGCCAAAGCACCTGCTAACTACCCTCAAAGAGACTTTAGACCAAAAAGAAACCAAAAAAACCCCCCCACGGAAATATAATCATGCAACAGGCGATAGAACAAAGAAAAAGACGTTTGTTTCACGCCTCAACAACGTAAGGTAACAGTGGCCAGAAAAAAAGAAAAGAAAGACGTTTCAGAACGATGATTTCATTGGTCTCCTATCATCTAAATAAACGTGGCGGTATCAGATTTTAGAAAACTGTCTTCTCCTGGTTCAGAGTTAATAGTTTTAGTAGAGGTTTTACGGCGCTCGCAACTGCATAAGGTCATATGAGCGTCAGAAGATAAGAGGTGTTACAAGAGAGTAACAAAAATTTTAAAAGAAGAAGAGGAGATAAGGACGATAGCTGTTTGATAGGAAAGAAGAAGCAAAATACCCCAGAGCACCCGCCAATCACCCACTCCTGGTGCAGATGTGCTACGAGTTGAATCACTGTTAATACAAGATGGGCTCTTACTGTGTCTGGTCATATTCTTTTTTGTTCTTTTCTGCCCTTTTCCAAATCCAGCTTGTGGAGAAAGATGGGGGGGGGGGGGG